GAGGCATCGCGGCCGTGGCCCAGCCACGCGACGAGATGCCCTCTCTCTTTCTTTTATTTTTTTCTTTTTTTTGCCTCGGATGTGGCCAAGGCATTGCGGCCTTGGCCAGCCACGTGACGGGGCTGAGATTGAACAAAAAGAAAAAGAAAAAAAGAAAAACGAAAAAATAAAAAAAGGAGGGCCTTCCTCCACTACTGTTGACATGCGCAAAAGACAAAAATCAGGGCGCTGTATCTTTCCATGTTCTAGCGGAAGCTTCACTCTCGTTTTGCACATTTCGAGAGTATTGGAGCGAGGGCGGCTCCACTACTCTCGAAATGTGCAAAAGGAGTGAATCTTCCGCTAGAACATGGAAAGATGCGCCGCCACGAGGCCCCAAGGATGAGACGCATAGGTCGGGAACTCTGGGAAGGAAAAACAAAGAGAAAAAAAAAAGAAAAGAAACTGGGTGGTTGTCAGCACCTGTATCCCCTAGGGCCACTGCTTTGTTGTCAGCCCGTGTATCCCATTGGGTCCCTGTTTCCCCGTTGCACAAAAGACAAAAATCATGGCGCTGTATCTTTCCATGTTCTAGAGAAGATTCACTCTCGTTTTGCACATTTCTATATCCATTGTGGAAACTGAGAGTGAATCTGCCCTAGAACATGGAAAGATACAGCGCCACTATCTTTTCTTTTCTCTTCTTGTTTCTTCTTTTTTTTTTTGAAAAACGGCCTGCCCCTCCGACGTGGATCACTAGACTGCAGTTACAAACTCTGCCCCGCGACAGCCACGCGACGGGGGAGTTTGGCCTGCAGTGTAAACTTCAGAGGGGACTGAACTCCAAAACGGAAGTTTGAGACCTATTTTCAAACTCTAACCCTGACCGCGCCCTAGTTTTCTCTTTTGCCTATCATAGGAGAGTAGAGGACATGGCGGAGATCATTGGAACGATGGGCCTGATGCCACCGGCCACACCAGGTCTGTCTTTTTCAGACAATTTCTACCTGGTTTTATGAAGCACGATGCTCAGCTTAGCTAGATTAGATCATTAGGGCATGGGGTTTGACTTCGTCTGGCTGTTTATGGGATTGGAATATAGATTGAGTAGTTTTAGATGTGCTTTTTAATGTGGTCCTATTATCAGGGGTAAATCAGTGGGGATATTTGCACTGTTTTTCTTTCACCCCCCTTTTCACTGATGGCACTTTTTGCGTATACTGGCAGGGGTCACCTGGAATGATGGGCCTAATGCCACCGACCACATCAATCAGGTCTGTCGTTTTTGAATGATCTCTGGGTTAATTGATATAAAACTGGACATTACGTTACTAGGGTAAATTCCCCACTAGGGTAAATTCCCCATTAGGGTAAATTCCCCATTAGTATCAGCCTATCAGGGATGATGAACGTAATTGAATTATCGGGTATAGGTGAGGCATTTGTGTGGCTGTTTCTGCTGTGTACAGTGTGTAGATAATATAGGGTTGGTTGCCAACTTGCCAAAAAATTCAACATTAGACTAGGATTAAATTCCACGTTGGCGTTGGGGTAGTTTAGGTAATTGAATGCCATAGCTTTTCATTCACAACGTTTTGTCCTTTTCGCAAGTAGGGATCCACGGGACGGCCTGAAGACAGGCGTCTTCATTGTGGGAGGTCCGTGGTTGGGGATGGGATTGGACGGGAGTGCCTCTCCCAGCCTGGTTCGGCTACGACATTCATGTCAGGGACACCAGGCCCGTTTCCCTGTTTTATAACGCGAAAAGAAAAAAAAAAAGCTTTACTAAATCTTAAAAAAAAAAAAACCATTTTTTTTCTAGGCCGTTTTTCTGGGCGCCCGGGCACCCAACTTGTGCCCGGATACACGCCCGGGTGCCTGGCCGGGCTCGACCTCCAGGCAGGGTTCCGGGCAGCCCCAGCAACAAAAAAAAAAAAAAAAAAAAAA